GTTTCCGGCGCCCCCCCCCCCCCCCAAACATCCATGTTAAGATTTCATCTGGCTTGGGGGGCTTCCAAGTTTTTCCAATGCTTGAATGTAACCAAAGGATAAATGTTCTAAGGGAAAACTCTTAGGTTTTAAATTGAAAGCATGATATAAAATATTAAATATATTTGTTATATTCTTATGAGAATTTATTTTGTAAGTACTGAAATCCTAGATTTCAGTTATGTACATGGAATATCTTGGGAATAGCTTAGTTTTTTCCCTATACGTGAGAATTTTCAAAAATGAGGGAAAATTACTAGATAAACGAGGCCATCAAAATTTAGGAAGTCTTTGTGCAAGAAAACACTTGCTTTGACCTGCAAGGGGAGGAGAGGCTCTGTAATGTTAAAAGGCTTTAGTAACAGCTTCTGTGGAAAACATTGTCAAAAGTCTGTGTTCATCAGGGTCACAAGACTTTAGTGGTATGCTTACCACAAAAACGTTGTGTAATGTGTCTACTCACTGTTGTTATCCAAGCACTTATAAGAAACTCATGAACACTTACTTACAAATACATTTGAAGGGTGATGTGTTAAGTAGTTACTTTGGCATGATGTCATCAAGGTGTACCTTGCAGTATAGTTTTACTGTCACTTTAAACAGTCAGTGCCAAACAAAGTAGTAGTCCTGTCCCATATTTCATCTCCTTGTCATCCCTTGTACCAGAAAGAAAAAAATTAGTAACAAATAATTTGAAATAAAAACTGTTTTTACCTGAACATGTAACAGATGCTCATCTTAGCACAAGGAAGGGGAGGGATGGATGGATGGATGGCACAAGTAGCTGCAAACAAGGAAGGATAGCATTGCTTCTTTTGGCAACAGTGCTGCCTTATTCTTGTTCAAAATGACTTGAAACAACTGCAATGTCCAGTTCATCTGAAATGAAAAGTGTGGTTCATACACATTGGCAATAGGGAAGCTAACGGGAAGTATTCACCCTGGCAAGCAGAGAGGGCTTTCTAGGCACTGTTAGTGCTTGGAACTTTGATATATAGGTACCTGATGGTTTCTTTTGTGAAAAACTAAACAAGCTCTGTTGTTAACTAATTGAGCTCCAGTTTTTGAAGAGGGCCTTGACAATGTGTTTATGCTTTCTGATTTGTCAGGTGTACCTTTTTTTTTAACTCATTTTCATTGGGACTGACTTTCCTCACAAGATGCTTTCACCTGAAATGTTAGGCATTTTAAATGGCTGTTTTACTAATTGTGTTGAAATGGAATCCTGGCTTAAATTTCAAGGGTAGTATTTCCCTGCAATTTTGTAAGGATATGAAATGTGGCTGAAGGTGAAAATGAAGTTTAACACTTTTTTTTACTTCTGGTAGAGAGAATCCAAGTCAGTCTAACAAGGGACGCTTGATCTCTGGATTCTGCTTTCAGAAAAACTTAACTTTAGGGAAAAAGGGTTGCATGCAGAGTCATTGTAAAATGTCTTACCCATTGCGATCATCTTTCAGGATAGACAGTGAAGAACAGAAAGCTTTTAGGAGAGAAAAAGAGAGCAGTTTAATGGGTATGAGGTAGGAAAGGTATGGGAGAACAAGACAAAAATTAAGGTAACTATCCAAACTACATGTGTTGCTGATGAAATCTTAAGCATCTGGGAAGGAATCTACTGTTTAGTACTGTTTATACTTCACTGTGAGGGTGGTGAGGCAGTGGAACAGGTTGCCCAGGGAAGCTGTGGATGCCCCATCCCTGGAAGTGTTCAAGGCTAGGTTGGATGGGGCTTTGAGCAACCTGGTCTGGTGGAAGGTGTCCCTGCCCATGGTGGGGGGGTTGGAACTGGATGATCCTTTAAGGTCCTTTCCAACCCAAACCATCCTATGATATGTCAAGAGCAGGTAAAACGAAAAATTAAGCTGAAAATATCCTAGAGGTACTGAGGAAAGATTTTTGTTTTGCAGGCAGATGAGCGGGTTTTGCGAATTATTTGAACTGGCTGACATTCAGCTCAGTCTATTTATCTTGTACTTGAAGTGGCCTCACACTTTCTGCTCTGCTCAGAGCTGTAGTATGACTAGTTCATTTCTGTTCTCACCTTTCTACTAGCACTTCAAAAGGCAGATCAAAAAAGAAACCAAAACTTTCCTTGAAGACTAATCATGCAGGTGCATACTGCAAAAGCTGCCTTGAGCAGTCCTTAACCAGTTCTCGTAGGTGCTAGCATGTTAATTACCTTTCACCATGTTGGTGTTTAGCACTTTTTACTTAATGCTTAGTAGCTTAGTACAAAAATAAGAGAGTGCTTTTCTGTACTTTTAGCATTGCTTTGAAATGCTGTAATGTGTTTTACAATGGAACTGTTGGCTTGTTGCTAGTAATTCTCAGTGTGAGGCACTTACGTCTCCTTCCTGGTAAACCCCTGCAAGGCCCTGAAGAAATAGTTGACCTGAAAAGAGCCAGAGGGGGTAGCCTTTCCTCTCTGAAAGGTTGTTCGTTGGAATGATTTCTTCAGTGTGCCTGTAGGAATTATGTAGAAGCAGGGACTGGTACTGCCTATATAAAGAGTTAGGGTTGCATAGTGGGAGGCAGAACACTAGGAATAAGAGGGAAGAAGAAGGGACGGGGGGGAGGAAGGGCCTTTTCTCTGGGGTGCATGGGTTAATAGAGCTGTGAGGCAGCACTAGGGAGAGTGCAGCAAAGTTGCTATCAAAATATTCCTTATGAAATAAACCAAAGCTGAGATTTTTTTTAAAATTTTTAAATACTCAGGTTTATTCTATATTTAGGCTAAGTGTATTTTTGCAGCTGCTTAAAGACCTTGGCTTTCATCTTGTGTCATAGTCTCTAAAGGACAATATTGGCAAGTTCTGTAGTTTCTGGGGTTTATTCTTTTGAGGCTTTCTTGGAAGAAATAAGTATGGATTATTGCTTAGCTTCTTCATGCCTGATGACTACTGGGAATCACTTATATAGAATGTTGAAAAATTAGTGTCT